CCGCGACCCCAAGTTGCAACTCAACCCATTGACACGGAAATCTCACGACGACTGGCCGACGGGCTGAAGCTTGCAAGGCGGGCCCCGTTAACGCGACCCGCGGCCGACTTAAAACGAAACAATTAAACAAGCCGGCCCCTTGGCCGCCTCTCCAAGTTCACCGCCCCGAAAAAAAACACAAACACGCGGCAGTTCGGGTGCCTCCGTCTCATCGTCGTTGAATCCACTGCTGGATGCTAGGCACCCCTCCCTCGTGCCATGGGGGAGGGGGGGGGGTAATTTCACCACATGCTGGTGAGTGCGGGTAGGCGGAGCCCCCCACCCCTCCGGGGGTTAGTCGTATGGACGAGGGTGAGCATCGAAATACGGTGCAACAACGCAATTTGTTTTTACTTTGCTGCACCAACGACATCTGCTGCGGTCACACATCCCAAGCAGCGTGCGGGGGCCTCACGCCTGCCGAGCTCCAGAAGTCACGTGACAGCGAGCGCATTCTGGGTGGGGTTTGGTCACAAGCGACGCCCCCCGCCCCCAGTCGTCGCTGCCCCCAATTGACCTCCGATCGAATGGAAGCCGGAAAACGTGGAGAGGCGGACTCGGAGTGAGGATCGCGAGGACTGGGAGGTGCAAAACCGATGGCATTTCACTCGAAACCGCCGCACAGCAGACACCTCTGCTGTGCGGTTTTCAGACGTGAAGGCGTAACCACAAGGGGGGGGGGGGAGCCTTAAAACCATGCCTTAAAAGTCACATTTCAACTCCACATCCACCATCATGGGGTTACTCCAGACCGGGTCTTCCGACGAAAGATTCATTCAAAACGTGTGCATACCATTTAAAATACTGACATTACATATATGTGTGTGTGTGTGCGCGCGTGTCGCCCATTCAATAGCGAGCACATCTCATCTATGCGGAGGTCACAGGTTGTGATTTAAGGAGGGGGGTGGAAAGAAAAGAGGCGGTTCAGGAATTAGTTTCCCGTCTCGGTTATTGGAAAGTGTGGAGTTGAAATGCAAAATCTTCCGATGTCAGAAGAGGTGGGGTGAGGGGTGGAACCAAAAATAATCGAAAACCAAAAAAAAAATTTCATTTAAAAAATCGTACTGTATACATACATACACGAAGGCGTCTAAAATAAAGACAGCGGTTACTCCAGTCACGTATACATGTTCCGAGGAGTCTCGTTTAATGCTAGAGCATACAACTGCTGCATCAGAGAGAAAAAAAGGTTTACCCTTATTTATAGTTTTTCATTCCATTCGCAGAATCGGTAAGGTCGCGACTGTGAGAAGAAGCGGAGTGGTGCTCAGAGCCGTGTGCGTTCGGGAGAAATTAAATAAAGCAACAACAAACCCTAAAAATTATCTCTATCTGCCCCCCCCCCCGTCTCTCGCTGTCCATCGAGGCTTTGTCGTCCAACCGGGCCGACGGGAAATTGAACAGCTTAAGCTGCTGCCCGAAATTAAAAAAAATAAAAATTCGTGAAGCGGATTTCGCCCGTAAAATTCATAATGCACCGTGAAGAAGTTTGAGGCTATATTTATTACTACGACTCCTACCACGAGATATACGTTTCCTAAGTGATACGTAAAATTGTAAAAATAAAAAATGACGATTAGGTGACCACCCATGGGGAGCCTCTACGGCTCGATTTGCAGGAGGACACTTTGTACATTTTGAGATGTTTGGGTGAAGAAAGTGGTGAACTATTGCTGGGCCATTTAAGATTGACCTACTACCGTGTGTTCAAGGACGTCTCCTAAGAGGCGAGTCGGGTCGTCTGGACTCCACTCGGCTGGACGTGCCAATTCCAATTATTTGCCTACGGAAAGCCAAGCTCAACCCCCCCCGCCCCCGAGTCTCTTTAATCAGGTGCCCTGCCACATTGAGATCGTTCTTGAGAATTTGCCTTCGCGTGTGGGAAGGAAATCCGAGCAATCCGGGAGAAAACCCAAACATCGCGCGGCTGCTGTGGACGAGGGGGTGGTGGAGCGACACTCCTGGCATCGTCTCCTGGCCACGGTCCGCAGCCTTACACCGCTCCGACACCTGGCTAAGCCCCCCCCCCCTGCCCCCGCCCCCCCCCCCCACGTGACGGTGGCCACCCATCTAAACGGAGTTAACTCAACCCCCCTTAGCTCCGGATATCCGATAAAATTTGGGCGCACTCCTCCGGCAACTAGCGGGGCAGTGTCCCCCAGGTAAGGCGGCTTGCGGTTTGCGGTGTCAGGCACGAGAAGAGTGCGCCCTTGTAAGTTGTCCGTCTCGTCAATGGTGAGGATGGGTCTGGGACACGACCAAGGGGTGGGGCCCGGACTGGCTCGGTCGCAGTCTGTGACGCATTTTCACAACTCGATCAAGCCGGGCGTGCTGGATTTCACGGAATATTTTCATTGTCTAAGTAATATCCCTAACATTTATTGGTTTAAAACGAAGCAGGCAGCCATGGCAGTGGATAATCTGTCCATTCAATCCGATTATCTCAATCGGATGGATTTTTTTTTGTCAAACAAAGATAAATATATATTAAATAGATAAAACCACGTGAACGTCGGCCGTTTGTTACGCTAAAGATTAAAATAAAAATAAATTACGTTCCAACGACCGGGCAGGTAAACACAAAAAAATAAAATCACATGGGACGAGATATATATTTTAAAAAAATACGATTGTGCAGACCTGCCCAACTGGGGTTATTTCCTACCAATTATCATTGATGTGACGAAGCTACATTAAGCGTTCGGTTTGTTTTCGTGATTTGGCTTTTGCGGGGACGAACGCAAATCAACGCCCGGTCTTGGGTGGCAACGTGGAGCGGCCTAGAGACCTCGCTCTACCAAGCGGATTCGGAGTGGCGGCACGTGACCTTTTCCAGTATTGGGTGAACGCGTGGAGCAGACTCGAGACCTCGACCAAGCGGATTCGGGGCGCACGACCTTCACGGTTCAGCGAGAGACGATCCCCTTGACCCCACGGTGGCGGGAGGTGCACTTTAGTTTCTTCGTAAAGGGAATCCACCGCTCATTGTAATTGCTCCCAAACGCACGCACCTCGCCAAACACGTTACCCATCGTACACCGATGGCAGAGGGCCTTTAAAGCCCAAAAAAAAAGATGCATTCCCATCTCACACTTTAAAAAAACAAACACAATTGAACGAATGCCAATAATAGCAATACCGAGAATTAAAATAAACTTAAATCACCAGCAATGTCTAATACAGACCTAGAAATATGTCCATCACTTTCCTAAGCTCGTCTTTTCAAACAAACATATAATTATTAATATTATTATTAAGCAATTCCCCATTCTTGCCCGATCCCCCCCCCCCTTTCCCCCAAACAGATGTAGCATAACCTATAACAGCACAATATTTTATTTTCCTGAAAATAAACGCACACGCGGGGCAATCACCCCTACTTCCTAAGTGGTACGATCCAAGACGCCCATAAGAACAAATGCAAAGGGGTCTGCGTAACCCTGACCCCCCCACCTCCTCTGGGGCGGACCATTCCCGGGGGGGGCAGAGGTGTGGGGGGGGGGGGGTGTCAACTCAAGTCCATTCGTTTGTAATACAGCACAATAGCTCGGATTTCACACATCTGTAAGATGTTTAAATATGAAGAGATTTATCTCCTATCTCCCTTTTTTAAACAAAAAGATTAAATGCACTACCATGAAGGACTTTTTCAGGAAAATAAAAAATAAAAAAAATTTTACATTTTCAACGACAGGCAGATAAACAAAAAGCACATCGTAGGTTAAAAAATAAAAATTGAAATAAAATAAAATTACAAACTGTACATTTACTGTACTGTGCAGTTCAGTCACCACGTATTTCAATTTCCCCCCTCGCCCCGTCCCCCACCTGATGATAGTCACTGACAGGTCGGGGCGCGGGGACAGCGAGGGGGGGGGCGTGAGAGAGGGACGCTGGCGCAAAAAACACTGGCTACTTTCTGATACAAAAATAAGCGTCAATTAAATTACGACCTCGCTCCCGGGTTCCTGCGCGCGATTCTCTCTCTCGCTCCCCCTCTCGCTCTCTCGCTCGCGTCCCACGCGGGGGGGGGGGGGTTCCTTCTCTCGCCTCTCACCGACGTCACGGCCATCCCGTCGTGGAGGTCACGGCCGCCGCGTAGCCGCCGCTGCCGCCGCCGCCGCCGGGGGGTGGGGGTGGCAGACGCTCGGTTAAATTTCCGGCGCGCCGACGGAGATCTAACGCGGCCGCTCGGAGCGCTCTCGACGCACCGCTTCTCCGTTTTCACCCCCGCCTCCTCCTCTCGCCCCCGCATGCCGAGAGGCACACACACACCCGCCTTTCCATTCTCATCCTGTAGACACAACCCTCGCTCCGAATCGTATAAAAATATAACAAAACACAACGGTGGCGGCGGCGGCGACAATTAAGCCCATGGGCCACGGCAGAAGTTGGTGGCACCACCTGAGAGGTGCGGCCATTCTTTAGCGGAATCGATCTCTCCTACGGGCGATTAAACTAAAAAAATTTGTCCGATAAGCTTCCGGCTTGTGACGCGTGGCGGTCTGGCGCGATTTGTCCCCATACCTCACCCAGGCGCGCTGGGAGCTTTCCTCTAGGACGCGTCTCACGCCAAACGGCACGTGTTGCCGAGAAAAAAATAAAAACCCGGTGAGCTACATGCAGCGCAGCCGCAAAAAAACGCACGCGCAGATAGCGCGGCAGATTAATCGTTTACAAAAAAAAAAGAGAGTCTCTACCCCGTTGGCCACGCAAGCAAAATGATACCGCGAAAGATGGGCCACCGCTCCAGTGGCGGCTGACGCGTAAAACATCTCTGCTCCGAGCCGGTGGAGTGCCCAAGGTGCCAGGGTCAGGTAGGAGGCGAGGTCCCGCTTCAGGTTTTTCAGCCGAGAAATTCAGTCAACCACCCACGCACGCACGCACGCGGATAAGTGGATTGGAAGACACTGGCGGCGGATCGCACCCCTCCCCCACCGCCCCCCCCCTCCCCCCCCCCCCCCCCCCTCAAAACTCTGCCCGCGTCGAAATCTGGGGCGTCGCCGCCACGATTCCCCGCGCTCTCACAAAACACGGGCAGAGGACGAGTCGGCCCTCACCGTTGTCGGGAGTGACCTCCAGAAAACGGTGGCTCGTACCGCACAGCAACCGGCAGTGACGATACCACGACGGGGAAAACCGCACCGCGGCGACGCGTTCTCGACCCACCCACCCAGCTACACGGCCACCCGTTTTGTTACTCCTCCCGTTCGTTCCCCTTTCAAATCTGACGGTGCGGTTAGACGGGTCTGTTTTGATGCTGCCGCTGATGCTGCCGCTGGTGCCGCTGGTGCCGGTTTTGGGCCTCTCTCGGCGCGTTTTCTGTGCGTCGTCGAGAGAAACGCCGAGCGAGCTGTGTCGGTACAAATGCTCGGTTCGGACACTGCATTTTGCCCCGCTTCACAGAAGCCAGGGCTTTCGAAAAAAAAGAAAAGGAAAATTAAAAAAAAACCGAGCTGGTCATTTGGGCCCGCCCGTTAGCTCGAGAGCCGCGGTGGAAGAATTGGGCGGAAGTGAATGCTCAAGAAAAACGGAACGGTAACGTGAAGAGGAAACGGGTTTTCTTCCTGGTGCAGGAATAACAAAAATTAAAACGCTCTCCAGTAAAGCACTCGGCGCATCACCCAACTTCGCCCACCTCTCCTGCCCAACCGCTGTGCGCGTGGGCGCCTTCGCCGTGCGGGCGTTCCTCACCAGGCGCGAGCAGGGAAACAATTAAAAACCGATAATAACAGCTCACGTATCCCACACCCCCCCGCCCACCCACCCCGTTGGTTGTAATTTTGGCGCGTTTTAACATCGGGCACAGCAACAGCTGCGACAACCACCTTGCCTAATCCACCCCACCCGTCATCTTCCCCTCCTCGCCCTCTCTCCTAGCCCCCACGCTACCCATCCCCCAGGAACCAGCAGTGGGGAAAAAAACACCTCTTCCTGCACATTTACTCAAAGGTGAGCAAACATTTTGTCCTCTGGCTAACCGATAAAAGTGCCGTCACATCGGCGCCCGGCCTCCCGGCGAGCGGAGGGAAGAGAAAGTCAAAGTGGCAATGCCCTCGAATCAATCATCGCCAAAGGGCTGCGATAAGTCGAGGAGGCCTCGCTCACGAAGTCTGGCTGGCAACGAAGGCGGCGGGCGGTGGTGGCGGTGTAAAAAATAAAATAAAAAAACGGGAGCGGGCCTCGGGCAGACTCCTCGTTAACCGCTCGCGACGGTGCGGACGCCGCGTTTATGACGTCGGACAAATCGGCGGCAATCCCGGACCGACTCGCCGACCACGATCGTCGCCTCTGGTTGTCAGCTGGCTCATTGACGTACGGCGTCACATTACACGTCTCAAACTGGGGGGGACGGGAGGGTGAAGAGCACCCCCCCCCCCCTTTGCTCTCAGCGACCGATCGGCTACGCGATAAGCACCCACCAAATCGAAAGTCGCTTAGCAGAACCTTCTTTTCCGGTTCCCTTTTTTTGTTTGTTGTCCGTTTGTTTTCCTCCCGACCAATCAAGGCACGCGAAGTTAGCTTCGTTTGTGTTGCACTAGCTAACCGCTAACGAGCCACTGCCTTGCTGGCTATTGATGACATCTTGTAGGGGGAGAGACAGAAGGTGGTGTGAGAGTTGCAACACGTGCACGGCTGGTGGTGGTGGTGGTCGTAACATTAACAGCGAAGGGGCTGCATTGGACGATGGGACGTCTCAGGAAGTGGCGGGGGGGCGGGCGGGGAAGGCATGCAATCAAATGCACCGACTCGCTAATCGAGTCGATCGCCACGCGTCCCAACGGTTCGAACACTTAGACAATTAGACTCTTTTTCTCTCTCTTTTTCCCCCCCGTCGAAGAACAAACGGCGCGTTCCAGGCAAGCCGCGCCGTGAAGACAAAACGGTGACCGACAGAATTGAACTAAATCCCAAAAAAAGAACTAAATGGGCTGTGAGAAAACGAACAACCCAACGGGATTCGAGCGGGCCGGGAGACCAGTGGGAGAGCAGCCGCCCCTTCCTGCCCCCCCCCCCCCACTCCCCCGACGACAGCACCAGACTTTCATTTATTTTGTTTGAAAACTACGCGTAGATCATCCCGTCGATCATCGTCACCCGTTTTAAATCGTCCCAATGTTGCCAACGGCGCCGACGCAAACCCAACCGCTCCAAGCCACCAAGCCCCCACGCCATCCACCCCCCCCCCACCCCCCCGTCGATCGGCACGAGAGGTGCCGGACCCTAGCCCGAGCTCCCCCTACCGGCGTACGCCGCCCTGGCGCCTGCTGAAAAAAGCAAGCGCCCGTCGTCTCATTTAGTTATCGGCGGCAAGCTACCGCCGGCCGCTGACGTGGCGTGACGAGGCATGGCGCGGCGTCACACGGAAGCCAGCGAGCCGGCATCGGCGACGCCGTTCAGCTGCGGTTGAGGCTGCGCCGAGGAGGAGGAGGAGGAGGAGATGGCGAGCACGGCGGTCTTCGTTGCCAGTGCCGAGGCGGCGGCGTCATCACGACCGCCGTGGCAGGCCGCCACCGGTGGCGACGCTCCCGCCGATCCCGTCGAAGCGGAAGCGGCCGCAGCGGCCATTGCCGCCGCGGAGACGACACAAACGCTGGGGGGAGAGCCGGCGACCCCCGCCATCACGTCGCTGTGTACAAAGATGAAAACAATCGCGATTTAGCTGTTATTATTGAACATCGTTATTATCATATTCTTAGCTCTTTCGGTAAAGTCACGTTGAAGGGAAACAATAAAATAATAAAATATATATAAAACAATAAAAATTCTCACGACCATAACGCAAACGGTTATCATCAGGTGACCTTCAACGTGACTTTACCGAAAGAGCTAAGAATATGAATTACTGCAGTCACGAAAGCTTTAAATCAAAATCATTATTATCATTTGGCTCGTCTACCCAGGTAAAACTCTCGCTGAGACTCTGCAGCAGCAACGCCCCGTGTAGTTTTCTCAGTCGTGGGCAGTTGCTGTGTGGGATCTATTGTTGGCGTGTGTGTTTTAGCTCGGGGAGGAATCCCTCTAAGCAGAACAGGGGGAGAATATTCACACTCCAGAGGCAAACTCACACGTGCACTCAATCTCAAAAACACAAAGATCGCTCGTATAACCTTAAACAGACTGCTGGGGCAAGTGCCGTTAGCGAGCACCTCTGAAGGCCGGGACGGCACACGACGGGGGTAGGTGGCCAACCAGTCTCCCCGGTGCTGATGTTTACACACCGTACCAGGTACTCGACCTCCTGGAGGCCTAGGACCGGTTCGGTTGTTCAACACCGATGTTGGTTCGTGAAAGGGAATCGAACTTGGGGTCGTCAGGTTCTTGGCGCAGTGCGCAAACCATGACACTGACGCACCGTGAATGTTCCAAATTAATATTTTATCTTAAGACATTAAATTAATAGGCACGATCAGAATGTGTACGCATGTATGCATGTGGAACTTCTTTCACACCGTGCGTAGCCACGAACTGTGATACTGTCGGAGGTGAGTGGTGAGTATAATGGGTGAGTGGTGAGTGTTGGGGTGAATATATTGGGGCGTGGGTATGGGAGAGACGTACCAGGCCGTGTATATTTGCGGTGCAGAGCGGGATTCGTCACTGCTTGGACCTGGCGAGGCCTGGCAGCTCGCCTGGCCGGCATCCCCAGGGCAGTCCAACTCATCCTGGGTTAGCTCCAGCCCCAGGCAGTGCTCAAAGTCCTGGTAAAGGGAGGGAGGGAGGCACGCACGCGCGTACACACAAACACACACGTGTAAATGTACAGATACACAAAAAGGAGAAACAGATTCCCCCATGTCACTGTTAACATGTATCTATTAAAGGCTGGCATGGTGGACGAGGTGTGGGGGGGGGCGGGGGGGCTAGCATCATACCCAGACACCTTTGTCTCCTAACTGATGATGTACACACACTTACTCATTTTAAGGCCGCGTTAACCTACGGAAGGCCCAGGAATGGTTGAGATAATCGTCACCGGTGTTGGTGGCTATGAGCGGGAATCGAAGTCGGGTCGCCAGGTTCGTAGCGCAGCGTGCAAAACGCTACACCACCGCTCCCCACATACGCGCACACGCGCACACACACTCACCAGATCGTCCGGCCCCTCCCCGTCAGCCACCTGCTCGTCGGCGCCAGCCCCACCGTCCGTCGCCGGAGCGGATACCGTCACCCCCCCGTCCGCCTGCAGTGGGTCGGTCTGCTCCCCACAAACAGAGACACCCGCCGGGCAAAGATCATTATCACGCGGGGGGTAGGGGGCGGTGTGAAGTGGCGACGTGGGGGTCGGGAGGAGGAGGGAACGCACCGACCGGACAAAAAGGAGCCGTGTGGCCAGTTGTGTCAAATTTCGGCAAGTTCCCGTGAACTTACGTCGCAAACTAAGCAAAATGAATGCTTAACATCATTTACACAACTGACCACTCACTTGTTTAGTGTAAGACACAAAGTCATTAAAAAAGGCATGGCTTGTGTGACATCTAAATGTGACTGCGTCTCAACATTCAGTATATAAAGTCAGTCATAGGTCTCTGTCCAAGTCTATGGGTCACCTATCTGAGTAAATGGGTCTCTGTCAGTCTATGGGTCCCCTTATCTGAGTATATGGGTCTCTGTGAGTATGGGTCTACTATCTGGGTATATGGGTGAAGCTGTGGGTCTCTGTGCGAGTCTATGGGTCTCCATGCAAGTCAATGTAATGTGGCTTTACGCAGCGTCTAAACGCAAACGCACTTTCAAGATGCTGTTCAGGAACAGTGGGCGTATTTATATTACAGACAGAGGCAGTGAGAGGGGGAGAGAAGTACGTTCTTAAGCCTGGACTTGAGCAGGGGCTGGAAGCTGAAGATTTCCGTACAGCCTGAACAGAATTGGGGCAAATGCTGTTAGCGAGTAGCGCCTATGAAGGCCCGTACGGCACGTGAGGTGGTGGGGTTGCCAACACCACGCCCGACCGCCTTTGTCTCCACAGTGGCGATGTATTTAAACGCCACACCAGGGACTCATTTGAGGCCGGGTCGACCTAGGGGAGGCCCAGGACCGGTTCACTGGTGTCGTCCGTAAGTGGGAATCGAACTCGGGTCGCCGTGCCCGTAGCGCAAGAGAGCGCCAACCGCTGTGCTACCGCTCCCCCCCGCAATTTTGTTGCGGTGCGGTTCGTCGCGGCGGGACGACTGGGACTCTCACCGTCGCCCGGGCGCCGACTCGCCCGCCGCCGCTGCCGGCCTCCTCCGGGCTGCGACGCGGCCCCGCCAACGGCTGCAGCGCCAGCGCCTGCGCCTCTCTCTGCAGCAGGGCCGTGTTGCTGGCCGCCTGCGCGGCACAACGAGGCGCATCACCGTCAGCTCCACCACACTCTCGAGTTCCAGACCAGAAGCATAAGGCTTCAAAAAATTTCAAGCCTCCAAGTTCAAGACCTGGGGCTCAAGCCTTCAAGTTCAAGCCTAAAAGATCAAGACCAGAAGTTCAAGACCCGGAGTTCAAGACCCGGAGTTCCAGACCCAGAGTTCCAGACCCAGAGTTCCAGACCCAGAGTTCCAGACCCAGAGTTCCAGAGCCAGAGTTCCAGAGCCAGAGTTCCAGAGCCAGAGTTCCAGACCCAGAGTACCAGACCCAGAGTTCCAGAGCCAGAGTTCCAGAGCCAGAGTTCCAGAGCCAGAGTTCCAGAGCCAGAGTTCCAGACCCAGAGTTCCAGACCCAGCGTTCAAGACCAAGAGTTCAAGACCCAGAGTTCCAGACCCAGAGTTCCAGACCCAGAGTTCCAGACCCAGAGTTCTAGACCCAGAATTCTAGAGCCAGAGTTCAAGACCAAGAGTTTAAGACTCCGGTTTACAGGAAATGAAACAGACGCTGGAAATTCCACATCTCGTGTGGTTATGGTTACGGCTAGCAGTGGGGTCAAGCGAGTGGGTATAATTATGGTAAGGGTTAAGGCTAGCGGCCGGTTATTTGGTGTGGTTACTGTTACAGCTAGGGTAAGGATCAAGGCAAGGGTCCTGGTTATCTGGTGTGGTTATGGTTAGGGCTTGTGGCACTCGCCCACCTGCATGCCGTGTATCTGGCTCTGCTGGCTGATCTGGTGGTTCACCGCCTGCAGCTCCATCTCCAGCCGCATGTGGTCTCGCTCCGAGCAAGGTGCCATCGCCCGCTCCCTGTCGCAGGCACACACACACCAACGCGGACACAAGCACAATCACGTTATCATCACGGCCGTTCAGTCGCATGGCGAGGGAAACTAAAACCTAAAACTTAGAAACTATGCTTAGCTTGCCAGGTAAGGCGCACTTGAGCGATATGGCTATTTTTCAGAAGAGATCTGGCCACAAATGACAGCTCAACGAAGTTGCTTATTATCGCGTGGAAATTTATAGCAGCCAAATACTCTAAAACGCATGATTCGAAACGTGGAGGGAAAAATCTAGAGTGACCAAGAGAAAAATCTACACGATCATGGGGAGAACATGCAAACTCCAAATATATATAGAAGTCAGGATCAGGATCGAACCCTCGACCTCCTTGTAAACCAGGCGAGGTAGTTAACATCTCTGCTATAATTTCCCACGCGCTAAGCCACTTCGTTGAGCTATCATTTGTTGCCAGCTCAGTGGGTGCTTACCTGGTAAAATAAAACGATTTTGTGGTTTTAGTTTAACTGAGTCAGGAGTCTACCAACGGGGCTGTGTGGGTGGCGTGGGGGGGGGGGTCCGTGTGTGTAGGGAAGGCCGGATCGTCGCGTGCCGTGTTCGTACCTGTCCGTGTACTGTGGGGTGGGGCTGGGCTGAGACGGGTACACGTTGGTGGGCGAGTTCCAGCCGCAGGAGCTCGAGTAGTTGACAAAGTAGTCTGCGAAGCACGGGGTGAGAATCGGGGCGTCTAAGGACGAGTGACAGGCGGACATCGACCGATCAGTACGGTGCGCGCTGCACATCAATGACGGTGTCGCACGGCCCCTCTTGAGCCGCCCGGCCACCGCAAGGTCAGTGCTTTATACACGGCCAGGTGGATGGGTGCGTGGTGGGTGGGTGACTGGGTGGGTAGGTGGCTGGGTAGGTGGCTGGGTGGGTGGCTGGGTGGGTGGCTGGATGAGTCGGTAGTTGAGTGGTTGGCTGGGTGGGTGGATGGTTGGCTGGGTGAGTGGTTGGCTGGGTGGGTGGGTAGGTCGGTGCTTTGCTGGGTAGGTGGTTGGCTGGGCGGGTGTTTGATTGGTTGGTTGACCGAGTGAGTGAGCTGGGTAGCAGGGTGGCTGGATGTTTGGCTGGGTGGCTGTCGGCCCTCACCGGTGACGTTGACAGGCCGCGTGGCCGAGCCCTGGGAGGCTGTGGCCTGCACAGGGCCCGTGTTGCGGAAGGAGGTGCGTGCCGAGCGGGAGATGGCGCCCCACTTGGACACCGTGGGGCTCTCGCCAAACGGGATGATGGGGTCCTCATCCTTGGGGCGGCGCTGGGGCGGATTGCACGGGACGACAGGGTTAACGGGCGAGCGGGCACGAGGACGGGCGACGGATGGCCGTACGAACGAGTGAGCACGTTAATGTACATCACCGACGAATGATCGAATGTCCAATTGAATCGGCGAATGAATATACGAGTGCACCGATGAATTAATGGAAATATAATAATTCACATTTGTAAAGTGTGGCACTGCATCCGTGGATCACAATGAGACACCACCATGTATGGAAAGCCAGGAAATAAACAGAACCTGCAGGGTAAACGGCCAGAACTTGTTTGGGGGGGGGGGGGTAAAAGAGGTGAGTTTGTCAAGAGAGGACTTCAACGATGGTTCTAACGACTCCGATTGTCTTGTGAGTAAAGACAAAAAGCGATCCAAAAAACCTGGAAGCTGCGCTGGAAAAATCTCGATCACCCCAAGAACAGAGCCTTGACCTTGGAGTACTTAGAGAAGAAGGCGATCCCAAAGATCTCAGGGACCTCGTTGGGAGGTTAAAAACAGAATCAGTTCCAGTAGATATCGTGGAGCTAACCTAGTGAGAGCCTTGTAAGGTCAGCAGAATCCTATAGTTCACTCAAGACTTGACCGGTAGCCAGTGCAAAGACAAGAGAGCAGGCGGGTGATTTGCTCACGAAACAAAGGCACGATGGTTGTAAATCGAAACTAAACTATTTATTTTATTTTACCAGTGTAAGGCCCACTCGGCTATGTAGCTCTTTTTCAGAATGAACCTGGCCGCAAATGATAGCTCAATGAAAGTGGCTTATCGTGTGGAAATTTATAACAGCGAAATACTATAAAATGCACGTTTCTAAATGCGGAGGGAAAAACCGAAGGACTCAGAGAAAAATCCACATGACAACAGGAAGAGAGACACATGCAAACTCCAAATATACCAGGTGAGGTAATGAACATTGGCAGTCGAACGAATGCACATTGAAATGCAATGGTGAACAAATGAATAAAGGAGGCCCATGAACAAATGAACTAACGTCAAAATAAACTCATGAATCCATGCACGAAGGGACATTGGATGGAACGCGACTTTATCGCCGGTGAAGAAAAATGTATCAATCGACCACCAGGGAGCGCTGTTAAATTGTTTACCACGGCGGTGGGGAGAGGGGGTGGGGGGGGTGGTAAAAATCAGCAGCAACCATTTCCAATGACAATTGCATCACGGGCCTTAAGCCTCCGCAGGGCCCTAGCTTGCACCACCCCAGCATCTCAGCGACGCCTCCTCTGCTCCGCATATGCGACACGCCGGTTTTGAACGCCCGTGTATGCCCGCCTTTGATTGCTTTCGAACCGATCTTCCAATCGCTCCTGGACGACTCCATTGAAGTCACACGACAGGACGACTCCATTACCGTCACTCAATAGGACGACTTCATTGAAGTCACCACATAGGACGACTCCATTAAATCACCCAATAGGACGACTTCGTTAAAGTCACCCGATAGGAAAACTCCATTGAAGTCACCCAATAAGAAAACTCCATTGAAGTCACCCCCATAGGACGACTGCATTAAAGTCACCCAACAGAACGACTCCATTAACGTCACCCAATAAGACTCCATTAAAGTTATCCGATAGGACGACTCCATTGAGAGTTGGGGGGTGGTAGGGGGGGTATGGACAGGAAGTAGTACCTGGTCGAGCCACATCTCGTCGGTGGAGCGGTGGTACGCCTCGCCCCAGCGCACGCACTCCGTCTGCGACGACGGAGTATCGCTGCGACTCAGCTTCACCTGCGGCAGAGAGACGCGCGGGTGTCACGGAGACCGACGACGGATCGGCAGAATTCATAAAATCGCCGGGGGCAGCCCCACATTAAACCCCGCGCCGGGGTTTAATGTCTCGCTGAAGGTTATTTGGGTCGCTGGTAGAATCGAGTAAGTGGCACGTGACTACTAGTAGCCGCGGCGGTAACGAGAGGTGTACTGGCTGTGGTATGCCGGGTGATTCAATATTTTCTTGAACGCAGACACGGACAAACCCGACTACAATTAAGCTCCAATCTCACAGAGAGACCCAAAGGCGTGGGTTCCTTTCTCACCGAATATTTTGTCGGTTGCTGGTAGACTGTCGATCTCTACACGGTGGTGTGGCCCGCCTTTGTCTCCCCAGTGCTGATGTTTCACTCTGCACCGGGTACTCATAGAGCCAGACCAAGGTCGCTATAGAATTCTTATCATTCAGTGTTGCTGCCCGAGACTCACAGAGCCAGAGTGAGGCCCCTATCGGAGTATTATTATTCAATGTTGCTGGCCTGAGACTCAAAGAGCCAGACCAAGGTCATTAGAGAATTCTTATAATTCAGTGTTGTTGCCCGAAACTCAAAGAGCCAGCCCAAAGCCCTTATCGGAGAGTCTCATAATTTAAGTGTTGCTGGCCAAGGCCTGAAGAGCCACACCAAGGCTCCTATAGTCTTATAATTCAGTGTTGCTGCCTGAGACTCAGAGCCAGACCAAGGACCCTATATGAGTCTTATAATTCAGTGCTGCTGGCTGAGACTCACAAAGCCATACCAAGGCCCCTATATGAGTCTTATAATTCAGTGTTGCTGCCTGAGACTCACAAAGCCATACCAAGGCCCTTATATGAGTCTTATAATTCAGTGTTGCTGCCTGAGACTCACAAAGCCATATCAAGGCCCCTATATGAGTCTTATAATTCAGTGTTGCTGCCTGAGACTCACAAAGCCATACCAAGGAACCTATATGAGTCTAATAATTCAGCGTGCTTTCATCTGGCTCACAGGGCCAGATGAAAGCACCCGAAGAAGCTCGACGCAAACCCCGCCCCCCGCCCCGCAAGCAGCGCGCGCAGGAGCCGTACCGTCATGTCAGAGCCGCTGGTGGCCATGACGTCGCGCGGCTTCGCCTCCTTGCCAGCGATGTACGAGCTGATGGCCTCGCACGACCACGGAGAGTACTGCGACGGGAACTCGCTCTCCGCGTAGGCGAGGGGGGGCGCGCGCCCGCACGCCTCGCCGCCTCCGTCTTCCTCCTCCTCCGAGTACTGCAAGGGCAAAAGGGTCCCCCCGCCAAACCCCGTGAAGCCTTAACCAACTGTTGGGGGCAAGCGCTGTCAGTGAGCAGCAGCGCCTACGAAGGCGATCACTGGCAGACGAGGGGGGTGGGTGGCCAGCACCACGCCCGGCTGCCTTTGTCCCCCAAGTGGTGATGTTTAACACATCGCACCCGGCGACACTCATTTTAAGGCCTACCAACAACAACCGCCATTCGCCACTCATTGGCGGCTACGTCACCACGACGCTTGTGCCAGGCTATGTGCATGTTGAGGCCACGTGAAGTGTCGAACGCCCGCTGGCAGGAGGTCACGGGGCAGACCCAGGTGCCACGGGCCGGCTGACTGAGATGACTGGCTGATGCACCGCCTGTGCACCCTACTGTGCCAACTTGCTGTGCTTCAGCCACCTGGCGCTCCGCTCGTTGTTATGAGCGTCGCTCCTCTGCCCTCCGTTGTTGATGTAGGGCGACTCCCTCCAACTGCCTAGTAGCGTCCTTCACGAGCCTCCTCCAGAGGCCGATCTTGACACCGCTGGTACCAGTCATCGGCAAGTCCACTTAGCTCCACATCTTCCTGTACCACGTCACTCCACCTCTTCTCTAGCCCGTGCCGCGCCTGTCTAGCCCCCTCAATCCGGCCGAATAAAAGCTGTTTCGGCATGCGGTGGCTGGGCATGCGGGCCACATGACCCAGCCAACGCAGCCTTGCGAAGATGTTCCATTGGGGGGGTCGACATTTCGCAAGCGAAGAGAAGGGAGGGAATGACCGTAGCCGAGAAGACCTGAAGTTTCATGCGGAGCAACAGACCAGGTAGCTTCCACACAGCGTTACGCAACCGATGAAAAGATGATGCCGCTCGACTGATTCGGAGTGAGACCTCTGCTGTTATACCGGAGCCGTTCATGAGCACACTGCCCAGGTATGGGAAAAGCTCCACTCTCCACAACTGCCCCATCACTAATTGGGAGCTGTGGGGGTGGAGTGTCCGATGGTACAAAATACCCAGGCAGGTGCTAGTTTTTGTGGGGCTGATGGTAAGGCCCCACCTCTTAGTGGCAAGCTCCAGGTTCAGCAGTAGCACCTCCAACTCCTTCTCTGAGTGAGCAGCAATTACCAGATCATCGGCAAACACAACGTGGTTGAGCAATAGGGAGCCATCCCTTGACTGTACCCGGGCATCAATCAGCCTCCTATTGTATCAGTACCAGATGGAAATTCCTCCGGTACAGCTATTGAAGGCTTCAGGAACTAAGTGGTCGAAAAAGATGTTAAATAATGTGGGAGCCAGAGGACATCCCTGTTGCACCCCAAGGTGAACAGGGAATGGCTCCCGGCCACGTAGTTTTACCCGGGCCCACTCACCATCATAAAGGTCCTTAATGATTGTGAGCAGAGGGTCAGGGACTCTGAAAGTGCGAAGAACAACCGAGAGCCCAGGCCTACTGATGGTATCATAGGCCTTGACCAGGTCAATAAAGCAGAGATGTAGGTCTTGTTGGAATTCCCTACACCTCTGCTGTAGCAGACGGACAGAAAATATGGCATCTGTGCCAGACTGCCCTTTTCTGAAACTGTATTGGGGCTCCGCAAACCTCTCCTCAGCATGCCTAGCCAGGCGATGTTGAATAATCCTTGCCAGGACCTTTCCCGTCACACTGAGGAGTGAGATGCCCCTGTAGTTGTTACAGTCTGTGCGGTCCCCCTTCTTAAAGAGGGGAACCACCAGGGCATCCTTCCAATCCTGCGAACCCATCCAGTGGTGCATGAGCCACAGTCCTAAACCTTGCAGATTTCCCCTTGACATCAGGAGGAGTGGGGGACGATGCCAATGCCAGCCGCAAGCGATGATTAAATTCTCGCTTGCAACTTTCATCAGCTAGCTGAGACCATGCCACTATGGGTTTGAATGGGGTCCTGGGTGTACACCCACCACCGGAGTGGAAGAATGGCAGGCGCATCTTCAGATGCCAAGTCGATGGTCAGTTGTCAGATCAGCTCCACGGTAGGTCCTGTTGTCAAGGACATGAGCCCGCATCCGCTGTTCCATCACTATGCAGTCCAGCAGATGTTCTTGCTTGGACCCGGCATGCATCCATGATAATTATGTAATGACATGATGACACCTGCTGGTTGGAAAAGGGAAGCACGGGTACGGGCACCACTAAAACATTTTCCAATTCCAAAGAGAGAGGTATCTGGGCCAAAGGTAAGGGGTGGGGCTGGCCGAGATACTCAAGGAACCTGCAGGCAGGTTTCATGAGAGGGCGTGGCCGGAGGCGGAGCTTAGCCGCGTCTGCGGCAATATAAGCGGGGGCGGAGGAGGACTCATGGTCGGTGTGTCGAGTCTTGGGTCCGGACTGCGTCGCTGCTCGCCGTCATCCGGCCACGTGGCAGATCTCCTGTCGAGTTCCACCACCCTTACCGGCACGCCGTCAGCCAGCGGCGAGGCCGGGAGTGGACGGGTGGAACCACGCCGGATGATCGACCATGTGTGTAGGCTGTAGGGATGCTAACATCTAAGTGTTGTACTCGGAAAAGGAAGAAGATGGCCTGTGTTGTGCCCATGTGTGAGATAAAGAAGAGTACCCTCTACAATGACGCGTCACGGAAGTTGCTCACTACAATTACAAGCCCATGGGCTGCACAAAAATGTAGCAGCCTCCTGCCGTTGTTATTGAGCTGATCTGGCCCATGCCCTCCAATCACTCCAGACCAGGTGCCAGCATCATGACCAACTCAGGCATTGAAGTCACCCAACAAGATGACTCTATCCCGAGAGGCCACTTTAGCCAGCACCTGTGACAGGAGGTCATAGAAGGCATCCGACTCATCGGCCTTGCCTGCATCTCTCCACGTATGTTCGTCTTCGGTGGGGGCATAAGTAACCACCACTCCTCGCCACTGGATGATGGGAAGGTGAGCCCAAAGTAGCCTGGGGCTTACAGCTTCCCACACCTCACCGCCACGCTCCCACGCCCCCTTCATTCTTTTGTTTCGAAAGCCACTCCCTGTTGTTTGGCAGTCTCCTGCCCCGAGGAGACTGTCCACCCCTCATGGTGGACAGTCCTTTACTGGTCCAGTTCCCGACAGAGGAGTTGCAGCCTCTCCTCCGCAATGAGCATTCGAACATTCGACGTGGCCATCCGTAGTGGATTGTTGTTTCTGGAGGAGCCCCAAGGGTAAGGATTCAGTCTCCTGGCTCTGCCAAATGGGGTTTGGCCAGGAGACGTCATAGACGCCTGTTCCCCCGGGGCCTACCCCAACCCTCATCACAACCCCTATCACTAACCCCTACCCCAATACCTATCACTACACCTATCACTATATACCGATCCCAACCCCTATCACTATGCTTACCCAAACACCTATCACGACCCAAACCCCTATCATTAACCCTTCTCCAACATTACACTTATTATTACATCCATCACTACGCCTACCCCAACCCCCATCACTTTCCGTACTCCTACTCCCAAACACAGCAACGACCAGGCTCCATCCTACTCGGTGGACGTACTCTCTCTCGACATGGAGCAGCTCTAGCAACAGTAGTAATGGCAACAGCACTTTAACTCACAGCAGAATCATCGGCATTAGCTGTAGCAGCAGCCAGGCGCACCAACGTGCACCCAGCCCGGCACGCGCTCTCCCGGTTAAGGGGGGGGGAGGCCCAACGCAATGCGGTCGCTCACCATTGGCGCGTACTCCTCTCCGCCGTAGGGGGCCATGGCGAGGGGGGGCGGCGTCGGGGAGTGAGCGAAGGGGGGCGGGGAGACGGGCGGAGCGCCCGGGCGAGCCACCTTCAGCTGCGCTAGCAGCTCGGCGCGCCGGCGGTGCAGCTCCTCCAGGCTCGGCGGGGGCTGCGTGTACGGATCCTGCGGGACGATGCCAGGAGAGCATTGGAGCCGGCGCACGGTTAAACGCACGTCGCGGTCCAAATTGGCGACACTGTTAACTGCCTCGCGTGATATACAGGAGGTCGTGGGTTCAATCCTGACCCTGACGCCTGCTGTATATTTAGAGTCGGCGTGTCTCGCTCTCTCTCTCGTCATCACAGTGGCTAGGAGGTGTTAACTACCTCGCCTGGTGTACAGGAGGTTGTGTGTTCAATCCCGACCTTGAAGCCTGCTGTTTATTTGGAGTCTGCGTGTCTCTCTCCCTGTGGTCGCGTGGATTTTTCTTTGGGGCCTCTGGTTTTTTTCACGTCCACATTTAGACTCAACGTCACACGTTTAGAGTATTTGGCCGTTATAATTTTCCAGGCGATGATAAGCCACTTCGTTATCATCTGTGATGTCTAGGTCGCTTCTGTGGGGGCCTTACCTGGTAATATAAAAATAAACACCTTTCAATTTTTTTACCAAGTTTTATTTTATAAATATATGCCCCCCCCCACACACCTACAATTTACATTGTCAGTAAAAGCACACAGCAGCAACATCACTCGGTGGGAGAAAACAGAGCGTGTTTTCAGCCAGGCTACGCGATTGTGGAATTCCCTTCCTCCTCCTCCTCAGTCCGTCAGAGAAGCTGAATCTGTTACACTTTTAAAAATTGTCTTAATACTCCCCTGTTCTTTTCCCTACAGGCGTTCTCTCCGTAACTTAAGCTTCATGTAAAAAGCGTGTGAATTGCGCTACATATGGAAAACCGAGTTTACGTTTATTATGTTACTGAAAGGTTAACGAGTGCTTGGCAGGCTGGCGCTGCGCGTGAACAGGCCCTGTGCGATCTTAGGGATGGTTACCACTGCGGTCCGACAGGCTTAGGCAGGCCACGCATTCAAACATAGAGCGCAAATTTATAACACGGTTGTTGCCAGGATGAAAACGTTCCCCCCCCCAATTTAGTGTGTTTAAAGGTGCTGTACGGCTCACAAAAGCGGATGCCACAGAACTACCTCCAAGATCGCTACACGTGACCTCCGGTCCACGCAGCACTTGTGTGCCCCACCCCACCAGCTACGAGCTGTCCGTCTCATGACGGTTACACTGATATTTCATCATCCCCAGACTTGGAATCAGCCGAAACGTGATGAATCACATCTGCGCACGAGCGTGCCGGCCCAACAACCGCATCGTTACGAGATTCGACTCTGCAATGATTTCTTTCGCGACCGCACAGCTAAAATCAACTGTGGCTCTCACCCGTGGCACGCTGGCGGGCCGGTGCTGCTGCTGCTGCTGCTGCATCTGCGGCGGTCCATGTGGTGCCGCTGGCATGTGCCCGCCCTGCGGCGGCTGGTAGTACCCGGCCTCCGGGTGGCCGTGCGCCGGTGGCAGCGGCCCACCCCTCACCGCGTAGCCGGTCTCGTGCGCCGGTCCGATGCTGCCATCGCGCTGGCCCGGCGGGTACGGTGACGGCGCGTGGGGGGGGCGGCGGCGCACGCCACGCCCGCCGGGAGTCGTACGCCGCTGCCGCCGCGGCGGCGTGGTGGTGGTGATGGTGGTGGTGGTGGGGTGGCGGCGGCGGCGGCGCTCCGTGGTGACCCATGTGGTACCCGCCCGGGAGCGGCGGTGGAGGTGGCGACGCATAAGCGTGGTGCGTGGGCGGCGGAGGCGGCGGCGGGTAGGGACCGTAGGGGTCCGCCGTTGACGGGGGAGGGTACGCGTGGGGCACGGCAGGGCCCCCCAAAGAGGCGTCCGGGGGGGCCCCCTGTCTGTGCACGTAGCGGGGAGCGTAGGGGGAGCTTGGGTGTTGGGTCTGACAGTACGGGGCTGCGGAGACACAAACGCAGAAGACACTCAAGACGACAACGACAACCATACAACGAGTAATTATGGACTGTCTGAATAGGACATGACGGGATGCAAAAACGTCGCAAGGAACCGGTGGGGCATAATTATTTTCAAGAGCGGGAGAGATGCAGTCGGTTTTCGGACAAAACGTCTTGAGGCTGGACTTGGAAAAAGGACAGAGGGTCGACGGTACGGATGGCTGGGGCAAGGCGACCAATGGCCACGCTGTACAATTTCGCATCGCACGGCGGCAGTTGATATTTTTTTGTGCCGTACGTTGAAGAATTTATATCGCGCCGCGAAATTTTAACTTTGCGTCGACATCCTGACTGTATCGGGGATACAGGACACGGTAATCGTACGTCGTGCATTCTATAGTCTCAATTAAAACTACTACTACCATTTACTATTTTTATTTTACCAGGTAAGGCCCACTGAGCTATGTAACTCTTTTTCAGAAGTGACCTGGCCACAAATGACAGCTCAACGAAGCGGCTTATCACGTGTAAATGTATAGCAGCCGCATGCTCTAAATGCATGTTGATTCTAAACGTGGAGGGGAAAACCCGGAGGGACCCGGAGAAAAATCCACGCGACCACAGGGAGACAGACACGCAAACTCCAAAGATACAACACGCGTCAAGGGCTGCGATCGAACCCACGACCTCCTGTACACCGGGCGAGGTAGTCGCCATCTCGCCACCGCGGCGCCCACTGGAGTCGGGTTCAACGCAAAGTTCACCGCCGCAAGCGCGCCGCACGAATTGCGGACCCCTCACCCCGGTAGTGCTGGTGGTCGTACGCCAGCGCTGGCGGCGGCGGCGGCGGTGGCTGCTGCTGCTGCTGCTGCTGCCCACCGCGTGGGTCCTGGAAGTAAACGTCAACGGGGGGCGCGTGGTGGGGGGGCGGTTGCGGCTGCTGCGGCGGCGGCGGCTGCTGCTGCTGCTGCTGCTGCGGCGGTGGCGGGGGGTAGAGCACCCGGCTCATGGGGTGCGCGTGGGGGTGCCCATGGGCGTGCGGGTGGTGGTGGTGGTGGTGGTGGCCATGCGGCACCGGGACACCTTTGCCAGTCAGGTCGGGAGCGCCGAGTCCGCCCGGTTGCAGGTGACCACCCAAAGCCGCGTAGGGACCCAGGTGGGATTTCGGAGGGGAGCCGATTTTGCTGTAATAGACGGACACGGGGGCGAGTCGAACCCAACACACCTCTCGTTAGCACGGTTGGCTACGTACGGCGCGAAAGATATTCAACGTTATGTACACACGTAGCAGACGCAAAGTCTCATCTCGCAGCTATCAAACGCGCGCAAGTGTTTCGTTACGGTTCAGAGGCGTGGCAAAGCATGGACAAGCGGGACGACAGCCAGGTGGTAGTGAGCCGGCGCTATCAACAACTGCCCAAGCTCTGCCGTCCTCTCTCTATTAAGATGTTTTCAGCCAATTCATTTACGTGGGAGGAAACGGGAGAACACGGAGGGAACAGATTCACTCACTGTACCACCATCTCCTGGGCGAGCCGGGTTGTGCGGTGACCCACCAAACCTACCCCCACTTCCACAGCCCAGGATTACAAGGCCATGTGCGTAGCCACCACCGTCTGACATGCCATACGAGCTTCGTGATTTAAAGCATCTCCCAGAAGCAATCAAATTCGTCGTAACGCGTGTGGAGGGGGGGTGGAGGTGAATCGTCGCGTACCGATCTGACACACGGTGGTGGGGGCCCATGTGACGGCCGTATTCCGATGAACCTATCAACCAATCAGAGCGGTTTTCCAGTTTCAGTTCGGTACAGTGCAGACGTGCCCCAACTGGCTGAGCAATACGTGCTCTTATTTTGATTCAGCAGCCACTCCTCGTCAAACCGGTCTTGCAACAGTCGCGTTGAAACACTTTGGTTTTATTGTTATGACGCGTCTCTCCGGCAATGGCCGGGCAAATGATACGTCTGTCCGTCGACATATATACATACGTACGTCTAACAACTTTACAATGCTCCAGCCAAAACTACAAAACCCCCAGCGCCAATCGCCAAGAAACTTAACCACACAAGCTTAGCAGTACCAATACCGAGATGTGGATAGTTATAGCGGAGGGGGTTGGGGGGGGCTTGATCGGCATGTGGAGTGAACATCAGCTGTTAATGCAGAGGCGGCTGCACGTGGTGCGGGCCATCGCCTCGTGCTCTGTTACAGCCTTAACAGGGCGCTGCGGTAGCAAGACGTTAACTACCTTGCCAGGTATACAGGAGGCCGTGGGTTCGATCCCGACCCTGACACCTGCTGCTGTATATTTGGAGTTTGTGTCTCATCATCATCACGGTGGCTAGGAGGTGTTAACTACCTTGCCTGGTATGCAAGAGGTCGTGGGTTCGCTCCCGACCCTGACGCCTGCTGCTGTATATTTGGAGTTTGTGTGTCTCATCATCATCATCATCATCACGGTGGCTAGGAGATGTTAACTACCTCGCCTGGTATACAGGAGGTCGTGGGTTCTGCTCCCGACCCTGACGCCTGCTGCTGTATATTTGGAGCTTGCGGTGTCTCTCTCTCTCTCCCCGTGGTCGCATGGATTTTTCTCCGGACCCACCGGTTTTTCCTTCCACATTTAGAAACGTGCGTTTAAGATATTTTGCTGCTATACGTTTCCAAATGATAAGCCACTCTCATTGAGCTATAGTTTGTGGCCAGGTTGCTTCTGAAAAATGATCTAATCGCTCAGTAGGCTTTAATTGCTAAGATGAAACAGTTTAGTTTAATTTATATATATTTTTAAGCGGTTTGGTTACCTTTCCTATACTTTGAACTCCTACCATGTTTTTCTATTTGTTGTTGTAACGTTCTGACCCTCCCCTTCTGTTAATAAGAGCTTTATAGCTCATCAGATTCCTCGAGTCTAAATAAATATTCCGATTCTGATTCTTGAGGCCACATGGGGTAAATAATGTAAGAGTGTGCGCCTGCATGTGTGTGTGAGCTTATAGCACTGCGCAAGAGATAATTGTTTTTGTGTCTGTGTGTGCATGTGTGCGGGCACCGCGGGGAGCCGGTAGTGTAGTGGTTAGCGCTACGCTGCTCTATGAACCTGGCGACCCGAGTTCGATTCACGCTCACGGCCAACACCAGCGACGATTATCTGAACCGGTCCTGGGCGTCCCCTAATTCGACTCGGCCTCAAATGAGTTACTGGTGCAGTGTGTAAACATCGCCACTGGGGAGACAAAGGTGGCCGGGCGTGGTGCTGGCCACCTCGTGTGCCGTTCCGGCCTTCATAAGTGCTCGCGAACAGCACTTGCCTCAACAGTCTGTTCACAAGGCAAGACAGGGGATCTGTCTTGCCTTGTGTACGTGTGCGTGAAAAATTGCAAAACCCATCCCTTGTGTGCCGTGCAGACCTTCACAGGCGCTCGCTTAACAGAGCTTGCCGCAACAGTCTAAGACTATACAGAGGACCTTTATCTTGGTGAAATTTCACGTGCGCGTCCGTGAGGGTGCATTTGGGTGAGCACATGCTTATGCGCGGAAACGCAAACACGTGTGCGAATGTGTGTGTGTGTGTGTGCGTGTGCGTGCGTGCGTGCGTGCGTATGCCAGCGCCCTTACTTGTCCGGCGGTGACCCCGACAGCGACCCCGGCGCGCTGGCGCTCGCCTCTCCCACCTTGCCGCCGCCCAGCGCAATCCTCACCCCGAGCCCGGCCGCGTGGCCGATACCGAGCCCGGCCGGCAGGCCCAGGCCCCCGCTGACCTCCGCGCCGAACCCACCCGGGTCCGTGCCGCGCGCCAGCAGCTGCGGCGAGCTGCCGCCTCCGCTCATGAGGCCGTTCTGCGCCGGCAGGAGCTTGGACGCAAGCGGCTCCAGCCCCGAGGAGCCCATGCCAACCTTGTTGAGTTGCGTGAGCGATTGGCTGGTGCCTCGACCGCCCGCCAGTTTCTTGTTTTTCAAGCGGTACCTGGTTTGGGAGGGTGGGTTTGGTAGCGCGGAAATGTACGAGAGGCCGCTGTTGTTCAGATTCATTTGAGCAAATTGGGATTCCGTGCGTCAATGACGAGACGATGTCGCGCATAATGACATTACGGGGGGGGGGGGGGGAAGTGAGACGCGTGTGGCGTGTGATGTCATCGCCTCGGCCGCAAAGGGTTGATCCATCCGGCGCTGGATTCTACCACAAAGTTTTGGGCAAATTCTCTGAGCGATAAGGCCAATTTTATCCAGAATAAGTCCCTAACAGCAACGCAACTTTATACGAAATTTTATTTGTATCGGATTGTCTTTAGGGGCAGTTATCGTGACCCATGATAGAGACAAGACAGATGGACAGCGAAAGCTCAACAAACACAACTGTGTTTGCAGAGTGAAATAAACCAGTGGGGGGCGACATCCGATATCAAAAAATATTATTTTTTATTTTACCAGGTAAGGCCCACACTGAGCTATTTAGCTCTTTTTCAGTAGCAACTTGGCTATCAAATGATAGCTCAAACGAAGTGCCTTATTACGATGTGGAAATGTTTTTTTTTATAGTAGCAGCCAAATCCTCGAAACGTACGACGTTGATTCCACATGTGGAGGGAAAAACCGGAGGGCCCCGAGAAAAATCCCCACGACCACGGAGAGAGAGAGACTCCACAAACTTCAAATATACAGCCGGCATCAAAGGGGGTCACAGAATCGAACGCACGACATCGTGCATACCAGGCGAGGGAGTTAACATCCCCCCCCCCCCCTCCCCCCGAGTCACCGTGGCACCCAAAATAAGTCACGACGGGAGGACGACGCCAGCGATTCGTTCTCACCTCTCCAGCTCGTCCTGGGAGTGAGCGAACGTGCAGCTGGCGCCGCGAGGGCAGCCGCCCTGCTGCGTCAGGTCGCGGCACATGCTCGTCTTGTACTTGCTGTTCTGCAGAGGCTGCGCGGTGCGGAGCACGACGCAACGCGGAAAGGGCAACGGTGACTTTAACAAGCAGTGGGGCTTTCACGGCCAACATCATCCGCAACAGAGGTTTTTGGGTTAGATCGCGTGAATATAAATGCGCCGTTAAACCCGCCACCAACCGACACAGCCAATCAGTAAGGTTGCATCGCGTAAACAGAACGTGGCCAATTCGTACTGGTACAGCACTACCGGTGTGATGGAGAGTAAACCCTCCATAACATTTGCAGTTCGAGTACCGTGACGTTTCGCCAGTAATAACAACCAGCATCATCAGGCGACAGCCAGAGTTGTGGAGAAATCCTCCTCCTGTTTCGGTCGTAAATAGATGATCAAGGTGACGATGGTGACGGTGCCAACGGCGGTGGTAATTACAGTGGGTGATGATGATAGTCATAGTGGTGATGATAACGATGAAGGAAATGATAATGAAGATGATGATAGTAACAGTGATGATGATTAAGTTAATGATAATGATGATAGTAACAGTGACGATGATCAATTAAGGTCATGATAATGACAATGATAGTAACAGTGATGATGGTGGCGACAACAGTAATGATCATGATGGTAATGATGACGGAAATAACAAGGACAGAAACGATGATGCACGTGACGATGATTGTAATGACGATACTCATTGTGACGTGCATAACGACGGTGACGGTAATAGCAACGACGGCGGTGCCAAAACTGGCGACGACGTCGATGCCGATGACGACGAAGATCGGGGGTGGTGGTGGCGAGGGCACCTGCGTCTGCTCGAAGCCCTTCTTGCTGTAGTTCTGAATGAAGTCCACCAGTCCCTGCACGACCGTCTTCACCGCAACCATCGCCGCCGCCAGCTGCTCCCACGTGGGCGCCGCCGCGTCTGTGTGCGGGGCGGAAGCGTCGGTGTGAAGGCCGGTGGAAATCGCCTGACGATGATTTGACCCCGTGGTGTTGATCGCGAGACCCCGGCCACCAGGGCTGTCCCATAAGGACCGGGGGGGGGTGGTGCAGGGTCCCCCCTACCACCCCATACCTTCAAACTAAACCGGACGTATCACTAAAACAATATTTTACTATTTTTATTTTACCAGGTAAGGACGACTGAGCGTTTCCTAGCCTGCTGTATATTTGGAGTTTGCATGTTATCCCCTCGCAGTCGTGTGAATTTTTCTCCGAGTCTCCGGGTTTTTCCACACGATAAGCCACTTCCCGTTCAGCTATCATTTGTGACAGCCAGGCCGCTTCTGAATACATAAGCTCAGTGGGGGGCTTGACCTGGTATAAAGTAAAACATTTGCTTAGATTTTTAATCGTAAGACTTGCTTACCTGGGCTGGGGTCGATGTTGGCCAGCAGCTCCAGGTGGGGCCGGAGCTGGTTGAGGTTGGCGGGGTCGCCTGTCCTCTGCAGCGCGATCGTCAGCTCCTGCACGCTCTGCGCAAACGATGCCGGCGTCTGCAGCTGTTGGGGGGTGGGGGGCGGGCGTCAGTGGTAAGGCAGACGCGAGAAACAAACACACGCACGCACGAGTTACCGCAATGCGCAGGTTTTTGCGCAGCAAATGTTACGCGATTCGTAATCGGTTTTCGGGTTAGTCCACGTAAATATCCGGACGAGTTTGTGTCATAAGACCCTCCCCCCCCGCCACCCAACACCAGTGACGATTATCTGAACCGGTCCTGGGCTTGCTCTAGGTCGACTCAGCCTCAAATTAGTACTTGGTGCAGTGTGTAAAATCGTCGTCTTGGAGAACGCAAAGGTGGCTGGGCGTGGTGCTGGCCACCCACCCCCTCGTGCACCGTGCCGGCCTTGTATGTATGGATATTGAATTTCTTTCGTACCGTACGTAGCCAGCCGTGCTAATCGGAGGTGCTCGCTAAAAGCACTTGCTTCAACAGCCTATTCAGACAATACAGGGGATCTTTGTTTTTACACACAAACACGTGTACATACGCGCATATCTACGTATGCGTGTGTGTGCGAGTGTGTTTGCGCGCAAGTCTGCCTCTCGCCTTGTCGACGATGGACTGCATGTCTACATACAGGCATATATACGCATCCGTGTGTGCGTGTACGTAGGTCTGGCTCTCACCTTGTCGATGATGGACTGCATGTGCGACTTGTGGGCCAGGTCTCCGTAGAGCAGCGACGACCACTGGTCGGGCGCGATGCGAAGCCCGGCCTCCATGGCGATCTGCACAATCTGCGAGTCGTGTTCGCGACGCAGCGCCTCGTACGTGCGGAACTCCTCCTTGAGCTGCATCAGCGACGAGTCCTCGTCGCGTTTCGTCACCTGCGCCGGGGCGGGAGAGACGGGGGGGGGGGGGCACACACGTTTAAAGACTGCTGTCCTTCCCCGAACCTCCGAGTAGCACGGTTGGCAATGTACGTTGCGAAAAAAGTTCAACATACATACTTGCATACAAGGTCAGAGGTTTAAGGGTTTAGGGTTAGGAGTAAAGAGGTTTAGGACTAGGAGCTTAGGGTTATGGGCTTAGCATTATGGGCTTAGAATAAGAGGCTTATGGTAATGAGCCGAGGATCACAGGATTAGGGTCATGGGCTTAGCATTAAGGGCTTAGAATAAGAGGCTTATGGTAATGGACTGAGGATCACAGGATTAGGGTCATGGGCTTAGCATTATGGGCTTAGAATAAGAGGCGTATGGTAATGGACTGAGGATCACAGGATTAGGGTTATGGGCTTAGAGTTGGGGGCTTAGGATTCGGGGCTTATAGTTATGGCTTAGGATTATGGGCCTCGAGTTCTGGGCTGAGGGGGTTTAGGGGTTATGGGCTTGTGTCACGTCTGTACATGTTGTATCGTTCGTCAGCTCCCCATCTCCCACTCTGGTGCAAGCTGCCCACGGGAGCCGCCCACGGCAGCTCGCTGTGTTTCTAGGTTGAAACACTCATTTCTTGAAAACTGCTCGTCGTTGTGGTGCGTTTATATAGTTTGTCGTCCTTCCCTCGCCACACCTCCGACTATCACGGTCGGCTACGCACAGTGCGAAAGTACGTACATAGGCGTACGTACATAGGCATGTTCGTAACTACAGTTGGCGTACGCGTGCGACGGCGCCCGTGATGGCGGCGCGTCCCCGTAAGCGCGCTCGTACCTTGAAGCAGGAAGCGCGGTAGAGCAGCTGCACCACGTGGCCGATGCTGGTCTTGGACGCCTGTGGAAATCGCGTCTCCAGCCGCTGGACCACAAACAGCACGAGCACCTTGCGCGACAGTGCCGAGCCGTCCTCCAGCGCCAGCAGCACCAGCTTCAGTGCCTCCTCCTGCATGGCTGCGGGAGTCAGGAAGGGGAGGGAGGGCGGACAGGGGAGGCAACGAGGGATACGAGCGTTGTCACGATGACGACCGGATTGAGTCAGACGACGATTTCGTCCGAGTCATCCGTCATTCAACCACGAGAAATCGCCTGATGCAGCGAGGCCTTCTACAGGCTTCGCCAACTCTAATTACGCAAGTAGACACAAATACAGACATCCACCCCCTATAGAATAAACAGACTGTTGGGGCAAGTGCTGCCCGCGAGCAGCACCTACGAAGGCCGGCACGCGAGACGGTGGCCGAGTCGACCTACGTGAGGTCCAGCGAGAGGCTGGCCGAGTCGACCTAGGGGAGTATCGTCCGGGGTTGGTGGCCGTGAGCGGGAATCGAACACAGACGCAACACCCCCCCCAAACACACTCAACAAAGACACAACACGCAACACACACACAACACACAACACTCACCGGGCCCAAGGAACTGGCATCCGCGGGCGCGCACGGCCGCCCACAGGTTGGAGGAGAGCTGCTGCGGGTTCTGGTGCTGCAGGATGAGCTCGGTGACGGTGCGTTCGCCCAGTGAGCGCGCCGCCCGCATGGCCCGCAGCCGGCCCTCCTCCTCCACCAGCTGGCAGTTGACCAGCGTCACCAGCTTGCGCTGCATGGGCCGCGACAGCTGCGACTGCGACGCCGCCACCACGCCTGCGGGGCGGGGGGGGGGGTTGGATAGGGGGAGGGACCACACAGGCAGAGAGACGCGCGGTGGGTTACGCACCGCCTCGATCTCTTTCACGGATGTCCAGCAGGAGGCGCGGTGGGGGTGGGGCGGGGGGGGGGTGGGATCAGCGAGGTTACATCAACAAACAATACAAAACAACGATAGGCGTGCAAATCAGAGAAAACTTAGCAAGTCACTAAAATGTATATGATTAAATTATAGAAGTATCAATTGTATAATGGTGCGTACCTGTCAAACCCTTGTCAGTGCCTACCTTATTACAGACCGATTAGATCTTATTGGTCACCCAGTGCCCTTACAAATCTCAACATTCATCCTACAAAGTCCCATCAAAAGGGAGAAACAAAGACAAATAAAATGTGTTGTCCGTATTGCAACGGCTGTACGCCGTATAGACCTGAAAACTCAATTTCCCTGTACAAGAATACGGGGTAAACCGCATGAGTTGACAGGTATGAGTACGTAAATTCCTACGGAAATGTCAACACCAAATGCAAGCTTGGGGTAAGGCAGAAAAACAACAACAACAACAAATCCCAGACCACAACACACAGTAGTCCCTCGATGACATCGCGCGCTAATATTGAACTGTCGAGCCAGGGGTAAAGAAGGATCAGAGTGACAAGTGAGAAGTCGACAGAAGAGGTCACAGTCTCATTTCCAAGAGTGACCCACGCCACCAAAATTATAAAAGGTTCATGTGACCACGCTTTGCTGTGCCGGTCACCATGTAGCGCCGCAGCCCAAAACAACCTGTGGTGGGTTTGGTGGCCGCTCGGTAAAGCATCCAGGCCGGGGTTCACCAAGCCGCTTCCCTGTGCTGCCACCTCACAAGTTTTACAAACCACCACAAAAGCACCATCAACGCCGGCACCATTCGCATCACCATCGTGACCAACACCCGCACCGTCACCACTAATACTACCGCAACCGCCATCACAACCAGCACCGCCGTCATCGCCGTCATATTGGCACCACCGCTATCACAAGCATCGCCACCACCGCCACCACAATCGGCACCAGTGGTGGCGACGTCATCGCAGTGCTTGTGCCAGGCTAGATGGAGTTTGAGTTTATCACGTGAACAGCGGAAGCTCTCAGCTGGTAGGAAGTCACGTGATGGACACAGGTGTTATATGATGTGATTGCTAAGCTCCAGGGTGATTTCAACAAACTACAACATCAGCTAGTTTCTCTTAAACTAGTCATGAATACCTCCAAAACCAAGGTGCTATGCTTCTCACCAGGACTAAAGCAGGAAGTTATTTTTCCCCAATTACATTCCTTAAATAGTTATCAAATAGAGCAAGTCAAGATCTATAAGTATCTTGGGGGTCATCCTGGATTCAAAACTGAATTTTGAAGATCACATTGATTATATTGGTAAAAATACAAAAATTGGTTTTCTGTATCGACACAAGCACTGCTTCCCCCCTATGTTCCATTTGGAATTGATAAAAGCTACCATACTGCCTCTACTTGACTACTGTGACATCGTGTATAAATCAGCCCCAAGTACTGTGCTGAAGAAGCTCGATTCCATCTATCACTCGGCCTTAAGATTTGCATTGAACTGCCCATATAGGACTCACCACTGTGATCTCTACATTGGGTCAAACTTAACATCTCTTAATGTTCGACGGCTTGTACACCAGATCTTATTAATTCACGATGTACTTACAAAAAAAATCCGCAGACTACCTGCTGGATCTCCTCTCTGATTCAAAGAACAAATTTGACCTCAGGTCTTCGCTCATTTACCAGCTTCACATTCCCTATTGCTGTACAAAAACTGGAGGAAGGGCCTTTGCTATTGATGCCCCAAGGGTCTGGAATGCTATTGCCAATAAACTGCAATTTGAATCACTACCTATGAGATCTTCACTCAAAACTGCTCTAGAGGAGTTCAGTGGCCTAAAATAAAATAAAATGTTTCGCTCCGGATGACCGCTGCAAAGTATTATCTGTATTTTGATTTAGTGTGCTGATCTTAAAGGTGCATTGTAAAATTTGATACTCCGACTGATGCTCCTGTTTTTGTGGAGTGACTCATGCAGCCAGCTATGGCTCTAGGGTTTGGTGTTACATGTTATAAAAAAATTCGGTCACAGTCCCTATGATCACTGTTACATTGCATTTATGGCTTTATTTTGGTAACTTCGAAAAGTTTTTTGGTTTGGCCATGTTTGTTTGTTGTAGTACGGAGTTAGACTGATGGCCTTAATCTAAGTTGTCTTGTGGTTGTTGTTGTTTGACTTGCATCCCACTGGGATTTTTGCACACAGCGTTGGTGTACGGTGCTTTTTCAGGAATATTTTGCTGTTTTTTCCTGGATTTTCTGTTTGCACAGTCACATAGTCACTTTAAGATGTTTTCTTGTTCATGATTTCGTTTTTTGTTTGTTGCGGTTGCACCTGATTCAAGAGCCGAATGGCCCACAGGGCTATACCAAATAAATGAAACTGAAAACTAAAATATGGGGTCGACCGACTGAGAAAATAAGCAGTCGCCGCCATCATCACCACCGCCGCCACCACCCGACACCACCCAACTCACCCTTGGCGCCGCTGAGAGGTTTGAGCAGCAGCGCCAGCTCCTCCACGCACTTCTTGGAGGCGTCGTAGTGGGCGCCATTCTCTGCCACGCTCAGCACTGCTACGCCGGGCGCCTGTGAATCTGGCACCTGTGCGGGCAGGGGAGAGGTGCCGATGGGTCACGTGACACCACCGTGGCAATCACCGACGCCGGTGGCGGAGTTTGTACGATGCGCGCCATTTGCCGGTGCCATCCGACGGGATCGGGCAAACGCAGCGTGATTAGCGTGCTGTAAAGTAGCATGACCACAATGATGATGATGATGACGACAATGCTGACGATGATGACTGAGATCAAGGCAGTGCTGATGATGATCGTCATGACGACAATGATGACGAAAAAAGAATACGATTTACCCCTTTCAGGAAATTATACAGTGTTAAGATCTTCAAACACCAAAGAGACAATTTGCAAGGTGTCAGTCTGCATTAACCACACATCATGCTTGTGGTAAAATATGCAAACAAACATCCTTTGATAATAATAATAATGTATGCAATGTCTTTGAAACTGATTGGCCTACACCAGAGACAGCCTCCCTTGTGGCCTTGTCCGACCACCGTTGTCAGACCAGAGAACACTGTCAAATAGGTGGATAACACATCTTAACACCTCCTATAATATTGATAATCCTAAGCTTGCCTTCACGTAGCTCTGTGACTTTTTGTTGTCCTTCCCCCGCACACTCCTATTAGCGTGGCTGGTTACGTGCGGTGCGAAAGAAGTTCAACGTACATACGTACACACATACGCAAAAGCCTATTCGTTTTTTGTAATTATGATACTGGAAAAAAAGATTCCCATCGAGACGACAATGACATTGACGAGGACTAAGATGAGGATGACCATGATGCCGACAACGATTATGACATGATGACGACATGATAATGACGACGTTGATTACAACATGAATATGATGATATGATTATAATGACGACGATGATTATGGCATAATAAAAATGAAGATGATTACGACATGCTAATGACGACGACGATGATTACGACATGGTGATGATGACAACAATGACAATGAACGACACAAATAAGAAAACGATCCCAAGGGGGTGCAGCGGGGTGGGGGGGCCCTACGCACGCACGCGCACACACACACAAACATGAGCACGCACAAACGTACGCGCATGCACGTACCTGCGCGCCCAGCAGCTGCAGCAGGGCAAAGTTGACGGGCAGCGCCTCAATGTCTGTGTGGATGGCCGTCTGGTCGAAGGGGCAGGCCTTGCGGTGCAGCTTGTTGAGGCACGTCTTGCAGGCCGTGTGGCCGCAGCCCAGGCTCACGGGACGCCGAAGGGTCTCGTCAAACTCATGGCAGCAGATGGGGCACGACAGGAACTCGGTCCACTGTGGCGCTTGCACGGGCATCGTTGTCGAAGCCGCCCGGCCTGCCTCGGAGGGTGTGGGGGGGGTAAAGGAAGAAGAGGGGAGGGAGGGAGGAAGAGGGGAGGGAGGGAGGAAGAGGGGAGGGAGGGAGAGCGTAACGGTGACAGTTAGCGCAACCGGGTGAGGATCAAGCACTCGCTTCATTACCGGTGATAAAAAGTCGTACATTTCTTAAACGTGATTCACCGTGGCCTTACGAGCACTCTCGTGTCGGCAGTGAAACTCGGACAATCCTAAGCGTGCCTTGGTGTAGCTCTGACGTTTCGGGATGGGCGTCCTGAGTCACCGTTGAACGAGAATGCCCGACATGGCCCAAACAATGCAGGTGACATTAACCGCGTTAGTAAAGCTCACCGCGACGTCACCATTGCGTGCCGGCGTCATGGGGTCGAATTTGTGCCAAATTTGAACATTCACCTGCAAATAACTCATTTTGGATTGCACAGTTGCAACAAGGCCACCGTGTAAAGGCTCGACACCCTGGAATTACAATCCAGTGGTTGTTGGCTCCATCTCCGGGCAGGGCAGTTGCAACAATGGTCAGGCTTCTTAATTCCCACCCACCCCACCTCCATCCCCCCCAAAGTCGTAAACAGGGACTCCTCAACTTACGGACGAGTTAGGTTACCAGGCCTGTTTGTTCGCCGATTTGTTCCAATTTCCCAACTTTATTCCAGTCGATTCCAAACATGTTGTACGGCGTGTACGGAAAAACACGGGGAATAGCTTTAAAAGTTGAACAATCTCTTGTAGATGTAGATGCCACTGGTTCTTCACGTTCTGCAGATGTGGAATGCCACCACCGCCATCTACTGCGCGGCGGCTGAACTTACGACTCTCGATCCGAACAGGCAACTGGACACACGGGCAGGATCGTTCGTTTCTCGCAAGTAGAGGAGTCTGTCATAACATGGGGTTGCACACCACAGTTAGCCGATCGGCAGGTGGAGTGTGGCGGTTGTCAAGCGTGAGTTGTACTGCCACCGATTTCCGGGGCAGTTTGGCGAGCGTGGAACGAGTTGGGCAGAGTGCTATGCGAGAGGGGCTCTCTCTCCGGAGGCTCTTCTCAGCAGAAGTTGGGGGCGAGAGCAAAGCTGTCGCACGGCTGCGCCATAACCTCTCCAATTCGTCCAGCCGTACGCGCGAGAGAGAGAGACTAGGCGATACAGCCGCAGATGATTCCACGTACACTTTCGCGACATTCCACCCCAACAGATAGATAAATGAAATTAAACCGGAACCGTCGCTCACAGCTAACAAGGGCCACGGCCATGCCCTGGCCCCAACTTGGGACACCGCGAGTTATTTTTTTGTCGATTCGGATTCCGCTCAAGTCAGTTTGACAGGGAACACCCACGTCCGTATACGGAGAACACCACCCACACACCCCGCCGTCAAACAATGTCCCCCTGTTGCTTTGTTCCCTGCAGTCCGGTTTGGCTGGATACTTTACCCATGAAACCCCCCAGCCCTCCAGCCCACCCACTAAAGGGGTGTTTGTTTTGTTTTTATTTTTTTCTCTTAAATTTCCCCTTGGGGAAATGACGACGACGCCGACGCCGACGGGAGAAATCAAACGGGAGCGTTGCGTGCATCTTTGGTGTTTGAGCGAGGCTGTTGGCGGAGCGGCCGTGTGTCAGAGACTGAGCTACAACTCTTTTTTTATTTTCACCAGGTGAGGCCCCACTGAGCTATGTAGCTCTTTTTCAGAAATGGCATTCGCAGACGATAGCCCAACGAAGTGGCTTATCATCGTCGTGTGGAAATTTATAGCAGCCAAATACTTTGAACGCGTGATGTCGATTCTAAAAGTGGAGGGGGAAAAACCGGAGGACCTGGAGTGAAAATCCACGCAACCACGGCGAGAGAGAACAAGCAAAATAAAAATATACAAGCAGGCGTCACAGGGTCTGGATCGAACCCACGACCTCCTGCACACCGGGCGAGGGAGTTAACATCTGCCGCACACAGGGTCTACGCTCTCTTTTCCGAACGCCGTCACGGAGTCCCCGTGACGTGCACTGCGGCTAAAGCGGACGGGCGCGTAGTATTTTCAAGGTTGGTGCAACCGCGGCCATCACCAAGGGCGGCCGCTGGAGCTCGAACCGCTAAACCTCGGCAACGAGCGGCGATCGCAAATCCCGCTGGCCCAGACGGCCGTCTCCGACCTGTGTGGTGTGCCCCCCTCCCCACCCAGTGAGCGAGTCCAAGACTTCCTGCCTCTCAGTGTCAGTCCACGAACGCATCTGTCCACGCCTCTCTGCTGCACTGAACTTTTATTGGATTCACACACTTATCGACCCACATACCTGCCTGCCTGCCTGCTTGTTGCAAATCCACCAACTTCTTCAACCCCCCCACCCCACTCGCAGCACCCTCACCCAAACGCCCAACAACCCCACCCAAACACCCCACCCACCACACCCCCCCCATCGACCCCCCCCTCCGCCACCCCCCAACCTGCCGCGCTTACCTGCACAGCAGCCACCCACTTCAAAAGCATCCAAAGTCCTTGCAAACCATTTGCCTGGCAAGCTATATTTGGAACGCAAATTGCCACCCCGATTAATGATTCTCCGCAAACGCACTGCATGACTCATGAACCCCCAACCCATCCCCCTAATTCAGAAAAAAATACCCGAAACAATCACTCGAATGGGATTACACGACAGCGGCGAGGAACATCGCCTGCTGCCGAGAAAACTTGGCAGGACCCTCCTCGGTGCGGGGGTCCTTCCATTCGGGAACACTTCTTCTGCACAACGCGGAAAGCGCCCCCCCCACCGTTATAACGGGTAAGGCACCACCCGTTATAAAGTGGAACACGCCACCCGTTATGACGTGGAACGCGCATAATGGATGGCGCGTTCCATGTTATTATGGAGTCGTCCGGAATGGGCACGATTTGAATGCGGTGTCTGAGCGGTCAACACCGAACTACTTTCTTGAGCTACGCGGCTAAGTGGTACAGTGATACAGTGATGCGGCGGCGTACCCTCATCTCAGTTCTCCGTCTCGCCATGGGATGACTGCAGGCCGAGTTTACAGTGCACACGTGATTCGGTACAGTAATTCTTCGCTTAACGCGGCGCTTTCCAGAAACGCATCTACCACGTTAAATGAGGAATTACTGTACTACGATAATAATAATAATGGCAAGCAGGCCGCTGCCACTGCAACCTCCGCTTCCCCAAGGTCACTTACCAGCTCCCGGTCACCCGGAGTCACCCGCTGGTCCAGGAACAGAATCGTCCGCCAGCTACCGCATCGCAGCTTTCAACCTACGCTGAAGAGCACACGGACCGAAGGGAGAAAATAAAATTAATCATCAACAACAACAACCACCATTCACCACTAAGTGGCGGTGACATCAACACGACGCTTGTGCCAGGCCAGGTGCACTGCGAGGCTTTCACGTCAAGTGTTGAAGGCTCGCTGACAGGAGGTCACGGGACAGACCTCAGGTGCCATGGGTTGACTGAGGATTGGCAGATGCACCAACTGTGCTCCCCACTGTGCCAACCTTTTGGGTTTTAGCCGCCTGGCGCTCCGCTCCTTGTTGCGAGCGTCGCTCCTCTGCCCTCCGTTGATGTGGGAGGGCGAATGCCTCCAACTCATCAGCAGTGTCCGTCACACACACACAACCCTGGGGAACTACGCAATCCTCACCCTTTACGGCCCCGGCAAACCCATTTCTGGACAAAGGCTTCGCCCACCATGTCGGCCACAGGGCTCCACTTCACCGTACGTTACCACGCTTGCTTGGCGCGGGTTAGTCGACACGGACAACAAGATATACATGTAGGGAGCGTGGATATGCTGTACAATGATGGATATTTGCTACACTGCACGCAACAATATAGTCCTACGATTGAGTCACCTGCAATGCGCCCGATCACAGATGCCAGAATATCTAAGCAGGCTGTGAGCCTGGATATGGTACTTGGATGGGCGACCACCCCACCCCTGGATACGGAAGGACAACCACCTAAGTTCCAAAGCCAGTCCCTGTGGACTGTTGCAGGAGCGTTTCATGTTTTTTTGTTCTACACTCTGGAGGAAGGAAAGAATCTCGCGGATGTCTCTCGCTCGGGGCATTAAAAAAAACCATGACCAGGTGACGCGTTTCAGCCATTTTAACGACTGCAAGAACGTGACCCAAAGTAACCCCCCCTCCCACCTATTCCCGCCCCCAAGCGCGGACCCAAACATCAACGGAGCAGCAGAACCGTCGTCACGTACGGCCTCGACTGACGTGCCCCCCCCCCCCCACACGCGCCTCCCTGACAACCGGCAGCTTTTAAAGCTTTGGCCCGCCGGGCAGGGGCGAGGTTCAGTTTAACCGCGGTGACGCAAGCCACGGTTCTCGTTTGTGCTTTATTATTGTAACGTGCACTTGGGAGCGAGAAGGGAGCCGCGCCGCGTGCAGCCCCCAACTTCCTTGTTTACCAGCCAGGCGAGCGAGAGAGAGCGTGCGTGCGGAGGGACACACCCACACCGCGCACTTCACCGCTGCGTCGACACGGCCGGCCGCCCAACGCCCCACACCTCACTCACGCCGCCCCCTACCACCCCCCTCTTCCTCACCCCAACCAAAGTTCCACACCCGACGCTAAGCGCTTCTCGCCACACACTCCCCCCCCCCCCCCAAAAAGCCGAGCTGCACACACCAAAAACCGCACCCCGAACTTCACACTCCTTATCCCACGACGCATACCTCCCCACCGCAAAGACAAAGATCCCCCAGCCCGCATAGCTTTAAGAGACTGTTGGCGCAAGTGCTGTTTGTGAGCAGCACCTATGGAGGCCGGAACGGCACGCGAAAGGGGTGGGTGGCCAGCACCACGTCCGGCCGCCTTCATCTACCAGTGGCGATGATTACACAGCACACCAAGTACTCATTTGAGTCGACCTTGGGGAGGCCCACGACCGGTTCAGATAATCGTCACTGGCGTTGGTGACCGTGGGCGGGAATCGAACTCTGGTTACTGGGTTTGTAGCGCAGCGCACTAACCGCTACGCCACTGCTCCCCAGCTCCTACCACACACTCCACACCACACACACACACACTCCAAATCTCAAAATCTACAACCAAGTTTAACACGTAGGCTTTCGCGATCAATATCCATAATACAGGTTTTTTTGGGTTAGATCGCGTAAATATATGTCGTTAAACCCGGATGAAGCTAGTTGTAATTACTTGCAAAACGTCGTACTCGGATTGTAAATGTTCTGGCTTGGCTCTCCAACACACCGGTGTTCTGTACTAGTGACGAATTGTCACGTTCTGCTTACGTGACAACCCTTACTCGTTGGCTCTGTCGGGTGGTGGCAGGTTTAACGACACATTTATATATTTACGCGATCTTACCCAAAAAAACCTGTATTATGGATCTACAACCCTCACCTTCAAACCCCAACAAACCCATAACGCTCCACACCGGGACACACCCATCACACCCCCAAAGTTTCACATCCCTCATCCTATACTCCACACAACCATCACTCTACGCCCCGAAATCCACACCCCAATAACACCCCCCCCCCCCCACATCGACAGCCCCTGTTATCGTGACATGATGTGCTTTAAGACCCCGCCGTAACAGGTCCAAGTCGACCGTTCAAAACGTCCCTGCGCGTCAAAGATTTTGCCGCATTCCTGCTCAAGTGTCGCACGACGTGCCCCGCGATCCGCCGAGCAGCTGACGCGCACGCGTGCACACGGTCGCCCGCTCGCTGAGACGTTGAACCCGATCGGGCCCAAGCTTCTGTATAAATAGAGGCTAGGAGGGCCCGACCGCCCCCCCCCGCCCCGTGGTGTGGCCCAGAGAGCGCGGCAGGGAATGTAGGGCAAGGAAAGGTTTTTCATCAGGGCTTTCATATGCAATCAGAATCTTTATTTATCCTGGAGAAATCCGACGAGCTGTGAAGCTCTTTATCGCAGATGCCCAGTCGGGTGCGTACGTCCTCATGAATCAGAAGCACGGACACCATTGGACAAAAAGAAAATGGAAACAAAAGCTGAAAGATGCTCAAAGAAGCATGGAAATATGCGAGCGTGGGGGTTTAAACTGAGAGACAAGTAGAGGAGGAACGCGTAGTTTAGAGAACATACGCAAGCTGGAGACACCACGTCGACTGTTAAGAAAGGTAAACATAGGCTCGACTGAGTAGGACACGTGGCAGGCGGTCAAGACTGGCGCGACAGAACGGCAGCCAAAGGAGGGATCACGCCGCTGTAGCAACGGAGCGAGAAAAATCGCAGTCATGTGGAGTTCGCTAGGCAGCGATTGCCATCGCTGGAAGAGAAGGCGATGCGTCTTGGGGAGAGGCCTTCATCCGGAAGCGGGCTAGACCGTGGCTAAAGATAACGACGATGACGATGACATACGAACATGCAAAGGGACAGCAAGGGAAGCGCCGGGCGTTCTTTCTCCACAGCCGTGGAGACACGCGCAAGGCCCCTGGAGAGAGGCGCGCACGACGTTACGGCGGGCAATCACTCCTGGGAAATGTTGCTCGCGCTAAGTGGCAGGCTATCGGTCAACCAGACCTGCATGGGGACAAGGAGACCGGGGGGCGGGGGTGTGTGGGGGGGGGGGTGCAAGGGGCGGCTTGACCCACGTGCTCGGCGGAGAGGAGCCGCACTCCGACTAATCAAGGACGTGCCGAGCGGCGCTCGTCAAAGATTAATCGTCCCTCCCCTTGCGTCCGGTTCCCTGCAACCGATATTATTATTGTTGTTGTTGTCGTTGTTTTGCTTCCGAATCTCTTTTCCAGGAGGGTCCTGCCAAGTTCTATTTGGGTGGGTGGGTGGGGGGGGGAGGGGCACAATTTATCAATTAACATCTTAGCCAATTCCCAGAGGCCCAAGTGCAACTCCGTGCCCAACTCTGGCGCGTCGCCGCCAACCAGTGGGGGCAACATTTCGGAGGGGCTGAACTTCTCACCCTGGGCAAATCATTCGAGGGGGGCGAGGGAGGAGAGTGAAAAAGAAAATTCCGTTACGATTGAAGTTTTCAATAGCAACGGCACAAAGGCGCAGCCCTGCAGAAATCGCTTGCTCACGCCACTGCTGGCTGGAAGTGCCTCGCCGCTTAGAGCGAGGCTCTGGAGAGACCCTCTAGAGCATCGCGCGGCCGGCCGACCCACCGTGCTGGCCAGACATCTTGAGTAAAGCGTGCGGCTAACCCACACTTTGCGATACGCACGCAGAACTTCTTTCACACCACACCTGGGCCAACCGTGCTGATCAGAGCGTGCGGGGGAAGGACAAGAAGGACTACGCACGCGCCGAGGACGACACGCAATCTGCACTTGCAGCACGGCAGCGTCATCCCAGGCCGGCGTGTGGGTTGGGGCTGGGTTATAAATGACTGTGTCGACGATGGGTCTGGAGGTTTGAAGGCGGTGGGGAAGGGGTAGGCGGTGGTAGGGGGGGGGAGCTGGGAAGGAACGTGACTGGCACCGAGCACCATCGACCCGTCGCCGTGATTAATAGCTCCACGCAAGGCCCCGGGGGCCCGCAGGCACGGTCACAGCCGGGCGGAGGCTTGAATTTTTTGTTTTTTGCGATGGGCGATGTTAAAGCGGGCGCAGCGCTGCCGTCTCACCACCAACGCCGCACGGTCCCTACCGCCCCCGCAGGTGGCTCGCCGATGATGAGTAACGATGATGAGTAACGATGATGAGTAACGATGATGAGTAACGATGATGAGTAACAATGACGCGGGGAGAGAAAATACGAAGGGGCGGTGGCGGCAGCGACGACCGTGGAGGCGAATGTCACGCGACGCCCCGGGAGCTGACGACTTCCAAATTTGTCAATCTGTGCCTAAAAAAAGATTCCGATAACACGGGAGTTAATTTCGGTTGTTTATACGGCTCCTGCGAGCGGTGCGTGAAACGCAATACCATGCGCGGGGAGCGAGAGAGTGAGCGAGCAAGCGCTGTCATGCACGCGGTCTTACGCGCGCATGTCAATGGTTACGTTTTTCAAGGCAGCCAGAGCGAGCAGACGGGCAGACGGCAGATAGGCAGGCAAACGGACAGACATGCAGATAGTCAAACAAGCAAGCAGACAGACAGCAGATGGAGGGGACAGACAGATAAACAGGGATGGAAAGACAAAGATACAGACGGACGGGCACAGAGACAAACATGCAGACAATGTAGTGTGAGCTCATCGACACGGCTGCTTATACAGAGGTGCCATCTCAGGCCATGTGCGTGTGACGCTCGCATGAGGCCGAGACGGAAGGTGCCGTCAATAATTTGAAATGACG